AATAATACTATGTTTATGACAGAACCTATTGGAAGGTGCATCATATTTACCACCTCGATCACTTCTTATTGCCTTAATCTTTTTGTCGAGTTGATTCTCAACTTCATTCTTATAATGCATAAATTTTTTCAATGCTTTATCTTTACTCCTTAGCAAATATACATAGCAATATCTTGTGCAGTTATCAATAAACGTAATAAAGTACTTTTTTCACCTCTAGTTTGAACATATTTCAAATCACATGTGTTACTATGAATTAATTCTAGAGGTTCAGTACTTCTTTCAATATTATGAGATGATGGTCTAGTTAATTTTGATTCAACACATGCTTTACATTTATGATTTGCATCAATAATGAATTTAGATAAGAATTCTAAATTCATTAATTTATGCAAAGTGTCAAAATTAACATGTCATAATCTATCATGCCATACATTGGAAGACTCAAGCATATAAGCGAAAGATGTGTTCTGATTATTAAAATCAGATACAATTGTCATTATAAAAAAAAAAAAAGAAGATATAATTGTCATTACATTTATCTTAAAGAGTTCATCGCTCATATAGCCCTTGCCTACATAAATCCCACATTTGATGAGTACAAATTTGTCAGACTTAAAAATCAACCTAAAACCCTTCTTACTTAACAACAATCCAGACACAAGATTCTTTCAAATTTTTAGAACATATAACACATCATTGATAGTAAGTTTTTTTTGAGAAGTCATCTTCAATATAACCTTTCATTTGCCTTCAACTTTGGAAGCAAATGAATTATCCATGAATAGTTGTTCTCCATCATTAATTGCTTCATATGGGAAGAACATCTTCTTATCTGAACATATGTGTCTAGCGGCCCCGGTATCCACCCATTATTCCTTGTTATTTCCCACCAAGTTCACTTTCGAATACTACAGTAGAAAAACTATTGTTAGAAACATATTTAGAAAGTTTTTCTATTTCGGTTATATTAGCTTGGACGACCTTTCTCTTGTGATTTTTTTGTGCTTTACAACTTTGACAATTCTTTGCACAATGCCCCGATTTATTGCACACAAAGCAGTTACCTTTAAAATTTTTAGAATCACCACCCTTGGTCCCTTGTTGCCCAGCATACTTCTTTTTCTTGTTGGTTTTACGTCCCTCTTCAATCACACATGCCTTTGACTCTGTGGAATGATTGTCAACTTTTTTTTTGGAGACTCTATTGTCCTCCTCAATCCCCAATCTCCCGATCAATTTTTCAAGTTTCATTTCTTTGTGTTTGTGCTTCAAATAATTTTTGAAGTCTTTCCAATTTGGGGGTAATTTTTCAATAATTACAGCCACTTAAAAAGATTTACTAAGCACCATCCCTTCGACATGAATCTCATGTAGGATTACTTGAAGATCTTGAACTAAAATTATCATAGTTTTGGAATCCACCATTTTGTATTCAAGGAATCTGCCCACGACGAATTTCTTCATTTTGGCATCATTCGTCTTGTATTTTTTATCCAAGGATCCCACAACTCTCTAGTCATCTTGATTAGATTATACACATTATATAATGTATTATTCAATCTATTGAGGATTTAGTTTTTACACAAAAAATCAAAATACTTCAATGCATCTATCGTAGTAACAACTTGGTGGTCGGTCTTATTTTCACTACAAACAAGAGCATCCTCATGAAGAAACTTTGCAAGATTCAACGTAGTAAGATAGAAAAATATTTTCTATTGTCATCTCTTGAAATCGTTCCCATTGAACTTTTCAGGCTTATCCTCATGAGGTATATGAGTAGGTACATCAATTGGCGCTACATGCACAACATGATTTGTAGTAACAAGAACATTATTATCATTTGTAGCCATTTATGATAAACAAGGATTACAAAATATTCAAAATTAGGAAAAGACTAATACTTTTCAAAACACGTTACTAAAATAGAGACAATCTATTACTATTCAGAGTCACTGTTTTGTGTCACTATTTAAAGTTACTGCTTCAACGTTACTGTATGGTATCACTGTTTGGTATAAATGTTTAAATAATTCACTTAAACAAAGTTACTGTTTAGTATAACTATAATAGTTTGTCGTAACTATTTGAATTAAACACATAAACAGAACATGCAATTTTTCACAAAACTTTTCAAGTCTCTTCAAAATATCACAGATTGTAAAAAATATGTTTTAACAATTTGTAATATTTTAGAATAATTTAAAATATTAAAACATATATCAGAAACACAACAAGTAATTATACAAATTCAAAATATGTCTTAAGATTGTTGTTTGTGGTATTTCTAATATAGTAAAATCATTTTTTGAAATTTTTTGATTTGAAACATGCAATGTATAACAAAACAGTAACAGTCAAGTTCGAAACAGTTACACAAAAAATTGAAACAATTACAAAATAATTAACGAAATAATTATACATAACTGTTTGTGAAACCAATATAAATATTAACCCGATTGTAGAATAGGAACTGTTATTGAATTTTAAGTTATTGAATTTTAAGTAGATCAAAGCTAGTGTTTGAGACTATGTTCTTTAGAAAGATTTCGCCTCCACACAGGGTACTTATGAGATATTAAGTGTTTGCCTCCCAAGATACAATGATCTTGACACGAGTAGAAATAACACTCTAATTTACTCGTCCAGTGAATAAGAAATTGTGTTGTGTACTCTCCAAATGCAGACTACCTTAATGTTGAACTGCAATGCGCTCTGAATTTGGACTAATGAATTAATGAATGCAAAATAGTAATGAGCCTACGTATTTATAAACACTTTGGTGACTTTTTGGATAGCCACCATACTAAAAGACACAACCCAGAAGACAAATGCAATAACCAGTAGACACTACTTATGTAACTATTTTGTATGAATAGACACAACTCAATTTTTGGATTGGAGAAAAGCAAAAATTCGAACCAATGCGATCCAATGGATATTGAAAATTAAATTTCGGTTCAAAAATTCTCGCCCAAATAATTAAATAAATTTTTTTCAAAAAGATAGGGCTTGGTCGGGTCGGGTAGGGTCAAGCGCGGGCGAGCGACGCGCGCGTGTGTGGTTTACTCGAAGACATGTAGGCTCTCGCTCTGCTCATAAAATTTTGGTATCCCTTGGGGCTCAATCCCATATAGAAAACTTAGTCTATATATGCCCATGTAGAATTTCTTCCTCCATCAATGTGGGATTGATGTCGAATCTCACATTGCACAACCTCTATTTTCACATTTCAAGGGGTCACTTTGGAACCTATTTTCTCATTTATTTGTTACTCAATTTGAGCAAATGAATATACTATATTATTCTCCTCACGGAATGAAATATGAACCCACAAAAGTTTACTAGAAACAATGAATGAGTCCCAACACTATTTTGATCCAACACTTATGTATGTATCAAAATTTATTTCTACCATATAAATTATGGTGCATATTTTTACACCAATTTAAAGGTGATTGCTATTCAGGGGTCCTCATACTCATAAAAACATGTAACATTTTCAGGTGAGGATCAGGATGAGTAGTAAGGTTAGAGGCAAACAAGGGCTTAGAGAACTTGATGAATTATCTAATTAGGGTCATTTATGATTTTGAGAATAATTTTATTTAAATTAGGTGTTTGTAAACTGATGGCGTATGAAACGTGGATGAGCAGAACGTGGTGTATAAGAATAAGGTCTTATTTGAGCTACTAGGATTAGAATGTTAAGAATAGATTTTAATGGGGTTGGGGATAATTTGCACAGTGAAGTTATAGTGGTTCACCAACTCGAGAGCTAGTCCATTTTTTAATGGAGCCTCTTGTTCCTTGGGTCAATAATTATCCTTTTGGTGGTTTACAGAGTGTTTTTTTGATACAACTCGGATCGATTGCATTGCATTGGTGGCAATGTTCTCTATTTATAGTCTAATTCCTAACTTTATGGGATTTGCAGTGAGATCCTCACCTTCCATCCATGGGCTCTCCCTTGATTTTGGGAGAGAATCTTGGTTAGTTAAGAGTTTAGCGCCTTGATTATAGCTCTCTATTGCTTGAAGGGGCGCCCCCCATTATCCACCTATTTCCTTCTCATTTTCCTTGCTATTTCTTATGAGGGGAGCTCGAGATCTGGACCACTGAACTTTGGATACCTCATCTGATCTCGCTTTCTGAGCTCATACTTAGCTAAAACTCTTTCGAGGTATCATCATAAACCTTACGCAATTTGATTGTAGATGTACTTATGGTTAAAAATAATGTCAGATGATATTTAATTTATTATTTAATATTCACTAGATATGTAAAATTAATCACTTTATTACTTGTGTTCTGCTTTATTTTGTATATATTATGCACATGGATTTATTTGTTAAGGCTTTAGTGGTTGATTCATCACACCACTCCACGTGATTTAGGATGGGGGTTTGATAAAAACTTCACTTACTAGAATTTTTTTTCTTTTTTTGACTTATCGATAAAAACATGTGAACTCATTTTTGCAACAATTATCATGATAGAATTAATTAGATGTTAATTTCTTAATCAGTTGTGATGTGTCAAGTTTATGTATCGTTGAAAGTTGGTTAATTTATATCTGATTTATTTATAGTTGTGTACAATTGAATTTATCTTAAGTTGAATTTCTATAATCTGTATGTTTTATAATTATGTTTATGTTGTGTATTTGAATTTGCATCGGCATAATTTTCATCCAAAGATATTAAAATTTGAAATGAGGGCTAAAATCAAATCAGGCCTTACATTTCATAATTCTGGACTTAATTTATTAGTATCAACAGTGTAGTGTAGATCTTTCCACTTGTAACCTCGTCTAAGATGCATGCATGACACACGTACGCTGCACTGACCATAGCATCAAACGAATTCGAGGACCATAATGCTGCCACGTCAGTCAAACCCACAACTGGGGGCCCATCTACTGATGTGGCAAGATCTGAAGGGACGATATTTGAGGTCACACTCTATATATAAGAGCACTGTCTCTGCGCATGGACAGACAAACATGAAGTAGAACTTCGAGAAAAAGTAAAATGGGGAACTGAAAAATGGAGGGAGAGAAGAAAATGGACGGTTGTGATGGTTCCGATGGTTTGCATCCGAATGCAAGTGGTTCGCCGGTTGCTTCCCGTGAAAAGTCAGCGTCGCCGTCGCAGGGAAATGCTGCACAAGCTTCGGAGAAGTCATCGTCGGATGGTTTCTACGAGAAACTTTGCAAGTTGAATGAATCCTCAGGACTCAGTCTAGTGTGAGTCTTCTATTCATCATATTTAGTCTAAAGTTCTTTTGAAAAAAATTTAGTGGTGTACATGATCAATGAAATGTTGTAAATTCTTGAGAATTGTTTCCATTGAAGATAAGAATTTGGGGAATTTTGGGTGGTGTCATTTTTTTTTATTCAAATTTGGGTAAGAATTTATGTTTCCATTGAAGATAGTCTAAGTTAGTGATACGATAACTTTTTGATTGAATGTGCGTGGTATGTTAAATGCACTCAAAATTTTATCATAGTTATTATGTGTGCGTGCGAATGTGCCTATGCAGATAAAAAAAGAAAGAGAGAGAGAGAGAGAGAGATGGGTTTGCACGTCTAACTTGTGAAAAATGAAGCTTCTTTTCACACGCATTTTATGAAGTTTATTATCTGTAAAAGAGTTTTGCAATTGAGAATTAAAAATTTGACTTAATTTGTTGACCAAATGATTTGATAGATAATTAGGTTCAACCTACACTATTTCAATTGCACAAATCTCCCATTTATAACGGGATTTTGTAATCTTAAAGGAATGAGTGATATTGTTCTTATCTTAGGGAGGTCAATTTCTGTATTTGAAGCCACAATTAGACATAGCAATGCTGGAGACTACCCGCTATTCTGACATGAAATTGACCTGAATTAGTGCAGACCCGCTAAATAAATGAAATTTGGCTGTTTTATTGCATTTATTTGAGTGGCTCAAACTGATATGATGGACTTCATTTAAATGGCAGCTTTAATTTCCGGGAAACAATCTTCGATTTGCATTTATTTTACAAAGAAGTGACTAAAAGAGGTGGTTTCCATCAGGTATGTATACTTTCTTTCTTATTCGTTTATGCATTAGATTTTCTGACGTTCATTCAATGTTGAGCATCAATTGGATTCATGTGTTGGTGTATCAAATTTAGGATGATATGATAATTTTAAATAACCTTTGCCTGTTTATTAATATTAGCCTGCAGGAGTAGAAATTCTCGATTCTATATGCAATAAATGATGGATGTGAATAATTCAAATAATTGTAAGACTGCTTCTATACTAGCCTTATACATATCACCTATTNGGAAAATTCAGCAATAAATGATGGATGTGAATAATTCAAATAATTGTAAGACTGCTTCTATACTAGCCTTATACATATCACCTATTGCCATTTGTTAGTCAACATGGACCATTCTTGCTGAATCAGAAATTTGAGGGAAAAGAACTCAATGTAATGTTCCCAGGTCCTTGGCTGAGGTTGCATGCAATTGATATCAGAAAATTATTGTATTGAAGAATTTGGCTTGAGGAAAGTAGTTAAGGCTGGGAGATTCAACTCATTTTCCCGAGAGTCTGACCCAAAAAAAAAAAAAAAAGAGAACTTGTATTTGTCTGATTATTCCATCACTTAATCATGCATCTTTCAGGTTAGCAAGGATGGGAAATGGGGTGAAGTTGCATCTGCCTTGAACTTTAAAAGCAGTGTTTCAATGGTACAGACTCAACTTCAAAATCTTTATGAAAATCTATTTCAGCAATTTGAACAAATGTACCACTACCGGACTCCTATAACTGCTGCTCCAGGTATGTGAGCTGCTCAATAGCTTAGGCTAAACCTCAAGAATGTAAAACTTATGTATGACATTGTGCTAGTGCTTTGTTTATTACAAGTATTAGCCTGAACCTTTAGTTTTTGATTTATTCCATAAGCATACAGAGGTTTTTCTGAAATTAAAGAGTGATTTGGTTATAGTCTTATGTTACTGGAATAACACATCAGGACTCTTTTTCGCTCTGAACATCATAGACGTAATCTCTGCAGGCATTTCTTCGGGTTCTGAGGATAGCTCAAGCTGCTTAAAAGGGAAGCGGAAGCGTTGTGATGGCTCTGCTCCTTTGTCAACAGTTCCTTCAGGTAATGGGCATGATCCATCTGAGAAGAGGAAGAATGAAGATGATGCTTGCCAATTGTCAACGGGCATGTTTTCTTGTGCGTTATAGAAGGATAATTTCTGAGGGCCAAAAACAAGTTGGCCTTCTCTTGTTTCATTCTAAAGCAAATAATGTGAAGCAGCAAAAGTTTTAATAAAATGATTTGTAGAAAGAAAAAAAAAAACTGGGAGGTTTTAATCCTTATGGAAGTGCTTATACATATTGCTCTGATTAATCTGATATATCTAGGTTTGACTTTATCTTTTCATTTTTTATTAAACTCATATCTTAACAATATTGTTTAACAATCCTGTAGTATTCAAGAAAGTTTTAATGATGGTATGATGCCAACTATTTCTGTTAAATTGAAATTTATAATTCCTGATATATATCATATTACCTTCAAGAGGTTGCTTTGTCTTTGGAAAATACCTTGCACCCTTTGTCAATGTCATCAAATCATGGCATTCTCATCTTTTCTGTCAACTTAACAAAGAGCTATTTTATCCAAGGGGCACACCACATATAGTTTATGACCTACATAGCATTGCCCTTTTCTCTTGGATTTCTCCGATTATGATTGTTTTTGTTGTGATATCTCAATGTTTTTGTCTGTCAACAGTGAAACCCAAAAATCACTTTGGGTTCAAAATGCTTCAGTTTCACTACTTCAGTTTAGCATACCAAAGAGCATGAATTCCATTAGTTTCAAATCTTGATCAATTTGCAAATTCAAGCAGGGATCAAGACATCAGAGCAGAAACCGCATCTGCAGACATCATTAAAAGACAAGGAAATGAAGAAAGACCCCAATGCTCCACTGAGATCAAGAAGCCCATATCAAATATTTCTCAGGGTGGAATGTCAAAGATTGAAAAAGATACATGGGGAGAGTTCAGGTGCCCAGAAGTTCCGAGACATGGCGATTGAAGCATGGAAGTATCTGTCTAAGAGTGATCGCCAGGTATATTGCCTTGAAGTCTCTTTATAATTGTTTTTACTAACTGTATATCAATAACATCATTCAAAGTAATTTGCTTTTGGAATTATCTAGGATCACTTCTACTTATCAAAATAGAAAGATCTAGAATGGAATTTTTTTAGACTTCAAAGTATAATAGGATTGAATCCATCATTGGCTCAACCAGGCTACCATTTTATGAAATTGGGGCAATAAATTCTATGAACAATGCAGAAAATGTGTACACCCATCCCTTCTGAATGAATTGGAAAATGTGTCAACCCACCAGTCCTTGCTCAAGCTTGGGTCCGTGTTGCAAGTGCATTGCCAAGCCATCAGCCTGAGTCTGTCACTTCTCTGGGGATATGTTCCTAATTTACTGGACTTTTACGGGATTTTTGGGACGATAGAGAGACGTTGATGACAATTGTATTGAATGCATGATACTTCTATCTAAAAATGCATCCATTTTCAACCTTAATTGTTTTTTCCTTTCTTATTTTTACAGCCATATATCGAGGCAAGTAAGAAGGACAAGGAGAGATTTAATCGAGAGTTGGCTGCTTACAAGGATCTTAAGACCAAGCAAAATACAAAAAGAATTTCTAGCAGTTCAAAACCAACAATACTTGACTTCTCCACGCCTTCCCGAACAGATGGTGCCTATTATGTGACTTTGCAGCCTGATGCTGGAGACTTCTTTGTGCCAGATGAATCAGTGAGATTATCAGTCATGCAGGCGATGAAGAATGAACAGCCAAACGACTCCATGTTTCAGATAAACTGGGATGAGTCCAACGAGTACCACGACCTTGATATTTCCAGTTAAAAGGATAATAGGGGCTTTAGAGCTTCAATTTTGAAGTAGCTTTTGATGTGGAAAGTGCACAATTACTTAGCATCCTTTTTGGCTCGTATGGTGCAGTCACTAATTTTCAGGTCTTTCTGTATATTTTATAATTATGAAGTTTCTGTAGTTTGTGTATAGGTTCTTAATCTTTCCACAAAATATGAAGTTTTCATGTTCTGTATCTTATTCTTGTATGTCTGCTGTCATTTATCTTTGATATTCATGCATAATGGAGAGTTGGATATGTAACTGCAAATTCACAACGATGTGACAAAAAATATCAGAGAACTTTGAATGGGAATATCTAGACGCAGATCCTTTAAGGATCAATTTGCGATACGGTTTAACATGGAAAAACAGTAAGACGACGCTTTGATATCCCAATACACGCCAATCAACATCCTCCTTAAGGCCGAGCCATGCTGCAAATTCTTTCCCATGTTTCTGAAGAACAATGTTCATGATCAGTGCCCGTGTCCACATCACATACTACGATTAGAATTTGCTCTTGCCTGCCATGATCGATAAGACCTCATTTCATCCTAGTGTTCAAAAAAGTTCGTAGACTTGTTTAGGGCTTGGTTCAAAGCTAGCAAAATGTCCAACCTCATTGTCTCTTAAGAACCAAGAAACAAAATTTATCGACCTAAACATTTTGATACTGAAATGAACAGTGATGTAAAATCAAAAATTTCAAATTCGGTATGATTTCTCAATGTTTCGGAATATCTCTATACATTATATTCGTGATAAATTTTAATCTCTAGTAGATTTTTTTTTTTTGGGGGGGAGGGGAGAGGGGAGGTGAAGAGGGCGGGGAAGACAGTTTTCATCCTATGAGACCATTTTTTTTTTTTGAACAGTAATATGAGATGATGGAGGCTGAGCATTTAGGAAGTTATGTGCACCTAAACTAATATTTGAGAATCAACGAATGGAGAATGTAAAGAGAGAGGCATTGCATGCTTATGCAATTGAGAATGAAAGAGAGCGTAAGAAATTGGGACGTGTTTGAGTCCAATTCATCAAATTTATCTGTTTGCACATAGCCAACAACCTTATCCCTCTATCGGATTGAGATCCTTTTTATTATTTTTTTACATAATTTCATTCAATGGTAAATCACTCATCATATATTTACATGAGACCCGTTATTTATATGTGAATCTTATACTTATACACGGTAGTTGAACTATCGTTGAATAAAATTGTATAAAAAAGTAATGAAAATGATCTAGATTCTCCAATATCTTACTTCAGTCTATATTTGAAGATAAAAGATAGGGTTAATTACAAAATGCCATTTCAACTTATGATCATGTGCAATTAACTCCTTTAAGTTTTAATTTTAACAATTTTCTCCCTTGAAGTTTCTATTGAATAAATTAATAGATGGAATGAATGATAAATGCAAAATTCCTAAAATAACCTTACAACCATAGTCTTTAGTGATATTTTCGTTACATCTTCCAAAGATCTGCCACCATTTCCACCTCTAGCTTCACCGTCCACGCCACCGCCACACCTCCTACCATCCCTTTCGCCACCAACACATTCACATAACACACTACCACAATCAATAACAAACTTTGAATCACAAAATCAATGAAATTAAAAACAACAATTGATGATACTTAAAATATGGTTAAGGTTGAACTGTGACGTTCAGTTCAGCCCCTCTGAATTTGAATCACGCAATTCATGAAGATTTGCCAGAAGTACTTTAGGTTAGTTTTCCCTAGCAGCAATGCCACCAAGATATTAACAAGGATGACAGCTGGTGATAACCAAAGCACTATGCACTAATCGCAAAAGCTTTACATTCAGGCAAGAGAGCCACAACCATCAAGGCACCACCCATGGAGATTGCATAATAGACGCGTCTGTTATAGGTAATAGAAAATGATCATGCCAAAAAATCAGGCAAAGTACTAGGAGGCTATATATAAGAGACATATCCCCACAATATAAGACAAGCAATAATTCTAAGCAAAAATTCTTTGTATTTGAGGGTGAATTAACCGAGCTCCCGAGCTATCAAACCACTATAAATCCCCTGTTTGCAATACCCCATCACACTTGTTCAATTATAGAGCCTATGAGCTCTGCAGAATTGAACACCGGTTCTTTATCCAGTGATTCCTTGATCCCCGAATTATAACCATGTTCAATCGCGCAACACACACCATTAACAATATTTAAAAATCCTTCAATCCGAGACCTTGCATAGTTGCTCACTTTGAGTCGACACCGGTTCAACACAGGCGAGTCCAATGGCCAAAACGACAAACACCAAATCCATCCCCCACAAGTCTCAACAATCCCCCAGCAACCACTATCAGCAACCTGATACACCCACCACTCCCCAACCACCATCACTACTAGAATGTGGTGCTATAACCACTTTCAAAGCTTTGATTCCACTGGTTCTCCGCCCAACAACAAACAGACATCCAGTTCCACCCAATCTCCAGTTTAATTTCATCAAACATCCGAATAAAACTTAAAATAACTCCGATTCAACGAAGACCTCAAATAGGTTTTCTGGCAAAGGAGGAAGTGTGGCCGTGTGCCTGGGTGTGTTGGCGCATCATTATCATTTGTTAGGGGGGAGGGGCATTGGTGAACAATATGTGAGTTGGTTATGGCCTTGTGGGGTTGACACAAGTGTTTCGTTGTTGGGAGGGTCACCATGTTTTGTATAAGGGATAGGATCGCCAGTCTGGGAGGGCTAGGCAAGGGGTCAGGTCTCTGCTCATTTGAAAAACATAAGTCTCCAAACTCGATCATGTACATATCACTTGAGTGTAGCGATCGCAGTAGGTCGGGTAAAAATGAGTATTCATTAAAACAAGTTTCATTTGGACTGGAGATGGACTATACATATTGGACGGTGGACATTTATGAAAATATTCGTATAAATCTGTGTATGGGGATGAAAGTGGGGATAGACTAGCACTCTGCCCCGCTCCTCTCCGCCTCGCTTTACTTGTTATTATTATTATTATTGTTATATATATACGTGTTGTGTTACATGATATTATGTTGGATTTATAAAGGAGACAAATTTTTAATTATATTATGTTAGATTATATTGTAAACAATGTTTTAATTATATTATGTTGTAAATGACAAATTTTTAATTATGTTATAATATTTTATAATTATGTTAAATTATTTAGAATGTTAGATTTATTTATAATTTTGAATTATGTTAGTTTGGACTTGAGCGGGTAAAGTGGACGAGGATGGGGGCGGAGGTGAAGGTGGGTGACGTGGCGGGGCAGGAATTATAAATTTATCTGCGGACGAGAATAGGAATGAAAACTATATTCGTTAATGAGAGTAGACTGGGGATAGACGAAATTTTTTTAAACGGGTACGAAGATGGAGACTATACCACCCGTCCCCCGCTTCGGTCCACTACCATCCCCACTTGAGTGCATAATTACTCGTCATAAATTTAAGGTAGGAGTGTTAAACGTATCGCATTAGATCATTTCGTATCGGGTTGATTTCTAATTTATGTTGAAAATCTCAAAACACGAACCTGACCTATTTAATAATCGTGTCGAGATGTGTAAATATTAGCTTGACTTGCCTATTAAACGAGTTACCCGAACTCGAACTATTTGATATGTTTAATAAACAAGTTATTTTCGGATTAACACAGATAACATGATTTTTTTAACCTATTTAACACACATAACTTATTTTCACACTGTTCATTACTATTAAATACACCATTCAATCATTTATCCAAAATTTCTTATAATTTTTTCACCAATAACATATCACATCTCTCATCAATAAAATTAACTAAAATGCATTCAAATTTCAACCCAAAAATTAAAGCAAAAATTATACTATTATAATGTCAAAATAATGTTAAGAACTGTATTGTTAATTATTATAGTAGAAATAATAACTAATAAATAATAATGTTAAGACCACATAGTCATACATAATAAATAAATTATATTGCCATAAACGGGTCTATAATTTATTAGGTTAAGTTCGTGTCTAAATCATGTTAACTTGTTTAAAATATATGGTTTAATCAAGTCAAAATCAGGATGACCTGATTTTGACATGAATCCGACATGATGTTTTTCATGTTTAAGCATGTTGACCAATTTTTACCCATTGATCGATTTAATTTTGTGTCTGACCCATTAATTTCGTGTTCAATTCGGGTCGTGTTAACGTATCGTATCAAAAATTAATACCTTAATTCCAGGTTCGATGTTTCTTTAGAAAAACAAAAGATAATTTTTTTTTGGTACTGCCTAAATAACTTCAAAAATGTAAGGTTTTCTTTTACCAAGGTTGAAATTCTATAACATAAGTTTCAATAAGTTTATTTGATGGTCTTCAATAGACTTATTCAACGGCTATCAACATTTCTCTTAAAACTATTCACATTACACAGTACTTTCAGACACAAGTTATTCCTAATTCATCTATATTGTGATTAACATGGGATTAAATATGATATTTTCTATAAAATCATATATAAAGTCAGTCACTGGACCAAAATTCTATCCGGGGCTCCAATGTAATTGGATTTTCCAATTTTTAAAATGTCCATCCAATGTTGCTTTTTACCAAAATGAGATTTGAATTCTCATATACACTCTTTTTGGTCGTACTAGTTAGTGTACACGTGTTGCATGTGGACTATTCTATTGATGTGTAAGATTTGAAATGTTCATGATTTCATATCTTAATAAAACAAATGGTTCTCAACTATTCATACGGTTATATACCACATGGATTAGTTGGTCTTCTAGTAATTGAAAGGAGCATTAGTAAGAAAATTAGATTCCTAAATATTACATGTACACAATACCAAACCTTCAAAAAAAAAAACAAACCAAGTTTAACAAGTAATCTAACAAATCAAATAGTCCTAGATAAAACTCTTCCGGGGATCAAATTAATATCGTTTTCAGTTTATAACAAAAATTTCCTTTCACGTCTCATCTCTTGTGCATGATATCTAATTTCAACTTTGCAAAAGGGGTTGGGGGTGGGGGTGGGGGTGGGGAAGCCATATATTCCAATCCAATAAAAACAGAACTTGAAGAATATATCTATTAGTTTTCACGTCAAATATATGATTCAGGATTTGTGACTCAAACTAAAACTTTCGAACAACGCGAAAACAACCAACATAAAATCCATAAAAGGAAATCAGTTCTTATGCAATCAATATTAAAAATTACATTCCTTATTAGCTCTATGGAGCTATTTAGGACATGAAGGATCA